TTATGATAAATTATGTCCGCGATACTTGTTTTCTGCTTATTTTGATCACGTTTGGCGCTCGATCGCGCTGTATGAGACAGGAAAACATAGCATGCAGACATTAGCGACAGGTCTTACAGGCGGAAAAGGCTTGCCAAAGGAAAAAAAAAACACACCACAACATCTCTCCTATTGGTGGAAAACTTCACCACAACAACCAATCCAAAATTATATGGTGACTGATTGACAAGGGGCGGGCGCTTACGTTCTTCCTGCAATATGAGAAGGGAGGGAGGGACTCTCAGCAGGGATGCAGTCTGGGACACGTAGTTGCAAACCTAGCGACTTTGTTGTTAGATTCAATGACTTTTCAGACCCCCTAACGACGTTTTTTTAGAAAGAAAGTGACTTTTATCGACTTCTTCTGGAGTTTAGAGACTCTGACATGAAGCAGGCTTTCCTTACTGAGGAGTTAGCAACGCTGCTAAGGGTGCAGAGCCACACATGCGCTCCGAGCTCTGCATGGGAGACTGAAGCTGACAGAGCTGCAGCAGTTGGCAGGTTTCACCCTCAGAGACCACCAGGGGTTCATGTTGAGGCATTTTCAGTTTTTTTTTTTTTTTTGCCATAGACACTGTCAGCACAATCTGCAGTTACACTAACAAAAATGCTGCAAAAAACAAAGAATTATGGAAAAATTACACATGGACTGACATAGAGGAGGATCTACACAAGTTTTTTACATCATGTTTTACATCATGCATCATTTACATCATGTTTTTTTGTAGTGGCATAAATAAAAAGTGACATTTGTGAGACTATACAGTGTTTTGTAAATAATTTTACAAAGAACACCTGGGCCATTGCCTGCATTTTGATGTAAATAGAGGTAAATTACTATGTTCTTTGTTAAAAATTTGCATATGTTTTGAAGTTTACAATTTTTATTTGAAGTTTAAGTTTTAAAAACAGTTCATCACACATATTTGTGGTTTTCACAGTAAAAACGTTACTTTTTTCCACTCGGATTTTATGTTTTGTGTGTGAATTTGGGTCCAATGTGTAAATATAGTATGTCAAAATGATAAAATAACTGTAAATTGACACAGGTGAGGTTGTGCTGAAAAAAATGATACCAGGCAAGGCAAGGTAAAAATTTTGTAAGAGGAAATATAAAGGTAAAATCTAAAGTAGTCAAAAACGGCCAATAGTGACTCACAGACTCCACAGACAAGTCCCTTTGGCGCCACTCAGTGGGCAAAACTACTTTGTCTACTGTAATGTATATTTGGGTCATCTTTGGCGCCCCCTAAAACGTAAACCGTGGGGTGCCGCGTCATGATTTTTACAACTTTGAATGGCCATGGAGTGTAGATTGGCCTGAGCAAATTTGGTGTCAGTGGGACGAAAGCCTTAGGAGGAGTTAGCGAAATTCCAATATGTGCGAATCGGCAAAAAATGCAAAATAGCCCTTTTACCGTACATTATACAGATACGCGCTCTTGACTTTTTTGTAGATCTAATTGAGATACACATGATTGTCAATTTTTGTGTCATTTTGCCAAAGCGTACAGGCGTGACAGTCAACAATGTGTATTTTCACCTTAGGGGACAAGAAAAAATGGACTTTTTTCTCCTGCCATGGGGGGGCGCTCTTTTAGGGAGTAAAAATTCCTTCACAAATGTGTTGATGGCTGGACATTGCATCATCCTAGAAAACTTGGAGGCCAGTGAGGACAAAAATAAAAAGTTATAAGACTTTTAAAAATTTGGATTTTTGGGTTATCTTTGGCGCCCCCTAGAACGTAAACCGTGGGGTGCAGCGTCATGATTTGAATAACTTTTAATGGCCATGGGGTGTAGATTGGCCTGAGCAAATGTGGTGCCGGTGGAACGAAAGCCTTCGGAGGAGTTAGCGAAATTCCAATGTGTGTGAATTGGCAAAAAATGCGGAATAACCCTTTAACCGTACATTTGACAGATACGCGCCCATTGAATTTTTTGTAGATCTTATTGAGATACATGTGTGTGTCAATTTTTGTGTCATTTTGACAAAGCGTACAGGCGTGACACTCAACAATGTGTATTTTCACCTTAGGGGACAAGAAAAAATGGACTTTTTTCTCCTGCCATGGGGGGGCGCTCTTTTGGGGAGTAAAAATTCCTTCACAAATGTGTTGATGGCTGGACATTGCATCATCCTAGAAAACTTGGAGGCCAGTGAGGACAAAAATAAAAAGTTATAAGACTTTGAAATATGTGGATTTTAGTGTTATCTTTGGCGCCCCCTAGAACCTAAACCGTGGGGTGCAGCGTCATGATTTGAATAACTTTTAATGGCCATGGGGTGTAGATTGGCCTGAGCAAATGTGGTGCCGGTGGAACGAAAGCCTTCGGAGGAGTTAGCGAAATTCCAATGTGTGCGGATCGGCAAAAAATGCGCAATAACCCTTTAACCGTACATTTGACAGATACGCCCGCACTGACTTTTTTGTAGATCTTATTGAGATACATGTGTGTGTCAATTTTTGTGTCATTTTGACAAAGCGTACAGGCGTCAGGTGAATTTTTCACCTTAGGGGGCGCTATGGAGCCATTTTGCATTTTCTTGTTTGGGCGACTTCGGAATATCAAATTTTTCACCAGGCCCGGTCGTCCTGCCAAATTTCATGAGTTTTCGCCAGTGGGAAGTGGGCCATTTTCCAGTTCAAAGGGGAGGAAAAATAATAACTAGGACCCCGTTGGGGCACTGGCGGGCCCGAGCCGTGTCGCGTCCCCCCCCCCAACGTGCTGCCTCCCCGTCCCATTTGTGTCCTCTGGCCATCGCCCTCTCTGGTAACGCCCATCACTGCAAAGACCCTTTTCCTTCATCGGCGTTTGCTGTTCTTCCTGCCAGTGCGTGTTGCTTTCACTTACACTTGCCACAGCCAGCCTCGTGAGTGCCTAGCCTATTGGATATCACTGTCACCTACACAGGACAGTCATTACCTTTCTATTAATACTTTGTGTTTTAATTTCACATTAATTTCCATATTGTATAAACGACTGGAAAAAACTTGAGCCCCTGCCCCTGTATAATCATGTGCATGTCTCTGTTCTAGCTCCAAGGTGAATCTTCACTGCTCATGTTCTCCTCAGAAGCACTCACCTCACTCCCCTCAGGTTACTGTACACATGCACCAACTGCCTGCTTCAGGTTTGGATGGAGCTTCATGGTTGTCTTTTGGAGAAATGAGCAGTCAAGTTGTGTTTGAAATTTGATTTTTTTCAGGGGCAAAAGGAGCCTCTGCATTCTTGTCAAATATGTAAATAGCATGTTTTTGCAGGTGCTAAAAACCAGACTCTGAGTGTGTGTGTGTGTGTGTGTGTGTGTGTGCGTGTGTGTGTGTCTGTGTGTGCGTTCAAGTCACATGACATATTTAACCGGATGTAGCTGCAAGACGGAGCCTCGTTGACTCTCCGTTTCAACTTATCTCAAAAGTGAGGACCTCAACCTATATACCAGTTTTTAAATTGTGTTGATAGGCCAAATAAAACCAGAGTTATGATAAATTATGTCCGCGATACTTTTTTTCTGCTTATTTTGATCACGTTCGGCGCTCGATCGCGCTGTATGAGACAGGAAAACATAGCATGCAGACATTAGCGACAGGTCTTACAGGCGGAAAAGGCTTGCCAAAAGAAATAAAAAACACACCACAACATCTCTCCTATTGGTGGAAAACTTCACCACAACAACCAATCCAAAATTATATGGTGACTGATTGACAAGGGGAGGGCGCTTACGTTCTTCCTGCAACATGAGAAGCGAGGGAGGGACTCTCAGCAGGGATGCAGTCTGGGACACGTAGTTGCAAACCTAGCGACTTTGTTGTTAGATTCAATGACTTTTCAGACCCCCTAACGACTTCCTTTTAGAAAGAAAGGGACTTTTATCGACTTCTTCTGGAGTTTAGAGACTCTGACATGAAGCAGGCTTTCCTTACTGAGGAGTTAGCAACGCTGCTAAGGGTGCAGAGCCACACATGCGCTCAGAGCTCTGCATGGGAGACTGAAGCTGACAGAGCTGCAGCAGTTAGCAGGTTTCACCCTCAGAGACCACCAGGGGTTCATGTTGAGGCATTTTAATTTTTTTTTTTTTTTGTGCCATAGACACTGTCAGCACAATCTGCAGTTACACTAACAAAAATGCTTCAAAAAACAAAGAATTATGGAAAAATTACACATGGACTGACATAGAGGAGGATCTACACAAGTTTTTTACATCATGTTTTACATCATGCATCATTTACATCATGTTTTTTTGTAGTGGCATAAATAAAAAGTGACATTTGTGAGACTATACAGTGTTTTGTAAATAATTTTACAAAGAACGCCTGGGCCATTGCCTGCATTTTGATGTAAATAGAGGTAAATCACTATGTTCTTTGTTAAAAATTTGCATATGTTTTGAAGTTTACAATTTTTATTTGAAGTTTAAGTTTTAAAAACAGTTCATCACACATATTTGTGGTTTTCACAGTAAAAATGTTACTTTTTTCCACTCGGATTTTATGTTTTGTGTGTGAATTTGGGTCCATTGTGTAAATTCAGTATGTCAACATGATAAAATAACTGTAAATTCGCACAGGTGAGGTTGTGCTGAAAAAAATGATACCAGGCAAGGCACGTGATTGTCAAATTTTGTGTCAATATGACAAAGCGTATAGGCGTGAATCTCAACAATATGTATTTTCACCTTAGGGGACAAGAAAAAATGGACTTTTTTCTCCTGCCATGGGGGGGCTCTCTTTTGGGGAGTAAAAATTCCTTCACAAATGTGTTGATGGCTGGACATTGCATCATCCTAGAAAACTTGGAGGCCAGTGAGGACAAAAATAAAAAGTTATAAGACTTTTAAATATGTGGATTTTAGGGTTATCTTTGGCGCCCCCTAGAACCTAAACCGTGGGGTGCAGCGTCATGATTTGAATAACTTTTAATGGCCATGGGGTGTAGATTGGCCTGAGCAAATGTGGTGCCTTTGGAACGAAAGCCTTAGGAGGAGTTAGCCACATTCCAATGTGTGCGGATCGGCAAAAAATGCGGAATAACCCTTTAACCGTACATTTGACAGATACGCGCGCATTGACTTTTTCGTAGATCTTATTGAGTTACATGTGTGTGTCAATTTTTGTGTCAATATGACAAAGCGTATAGGCGTGACACTCAACAATGTGTATTTTCACCTTAGGGGACAAGAAAAAATTGACTTTTTTCTTCTGCCATGGGGGGGCGCTCTTTTGGGGAGTAAAAATTCCTTCACAAATGTGTTGATGGCTGGACAATGCATCATCCTAGAAAACTTGGAGGCCAGTGAGGACAAAAATAAAAAGTTATAAGACTTTTAAATATGTGGATTTTAGTGTTATCTTTGGCGCCCCCTAGAACCTAAACCTTGGGGTGCAGTGTCATGATTTTGATAACTTTTAATGGCCACGGGGTGTAGATTGGCCTGAGCAAATGTGGTGCCGGTGGAACGAAAGCCTTCAGAGGAGTTAGCGAAATTCCAATGTGTGCGGATCGGCAAAAAATGCGAAATAACCCTTTAACCGTAATTTTGACAGATACGCCCGCACTGACTTTTTTGTAGATCTTATTAAGATACATATGTGTGTCAATTTTTGTGTCAATATGACAAAGCGTACAGGCGTGACAGTCAATAGTGTGAATTTCCACCTTAGGGGGCGCTATGGAGCCATTTTGCATTTTATTGTTTGGGCGACTTCAGAATATCGAATTTTTCACCAGGCCCGGTCGTCCTGCCAAATTTCATGAGTTTTCGCCAGTGGGAAGTGGGCCATTTTCCAGTTCAAAGGGGAGGAAAAAGAAGAAAGAAAGAAAGAAAGAAAGAAAGAAAGAAACAACTAGGGCCCCGTTGGGGCACTGGCGGGCCCGAGCCGTGTCACGCCGCCCCCAGCGCGACCGCCTCCCCCACCCGATCGCGTCACACTCAAGGTCCAAAGATGGTGTGCACACTTGTTTGTGGTCATTTACCATTATAATGAACGGGAGGCGCAGTTTCTACCAAAACGCTCGCTGCAGAAAAACTCCATGTCCTATTTGAAAAAAGTCTGGACCATGAGTGAGGGCACAAACACAGCTAAGATATATCCAAATGGCAAGTTGCTCCTCTTTTCGCTTTTGCCGAGAGAGCAGTGCGTTTGAGCCATTGAATGATGAACAGGAAAAACTTGACTTTATTCTCCTGCCATGGGGGGGCGCTCTTTTAACGAGAAAAAACTCCTTCACAAATGTGTTGATGGCTGGACATTGCATCATCCTAGAAAACATGGAGGCCAGTGAGGACAAAAATAAAAAGTTATAAGACTTTTAAATATGTGGATTTTAGGGTTACTTTGGCGCCCCCTAGAACCTAAACCGTGGGGTGCAGCGTCATGATTTGAATAACTTTTAATGGCCATGGGGTGTAGATTGGCCTGAGCAAATGTGGTGCCGGTGGAACGAAAGCCTTCGTAGGAGTTAGCGAAATTCCAATGTGTGCGAATCTGCAAAAAATGCAAAATAACCCTTTAACCGTACATTTTACAGATACGTGGCCATTGACTTTTTCGAAGATCTTATTGAAAGACACGTGTATGTAAAATTTTGTGTCAATACGACAAAACATACAGGCGTAGCACTCAACAATGTGTATTTTCACCTTAGTGGACAAGAAAAAATGGACTTTTTTCTCCTGCCATGGGGGGCGCTCTTTTGGCGAGTAAAAATTCCTTCACAAATGTGTTGATGGCTGGACATTGCATCATCCTAGAAAACTTGGAGGCCAGTGGGGACAAAAATAAAAAGTTATAAGACTTTTAAATATGTGGATTTTACGGTTATCTTTGGCGCCCCCTAGAACCTAAACCGTGGGGTGCAGCGTCATGATTTGAATAACTTTTAATGGCCATGGGGTGTAGATTGGCCTGAGAAAATGTGGTGCCGGTAGAACGAAAGCCTTCGGAGGAGTTAGCGAAATTCCAATGTGTGCGGATCGGCAAAAAATGCGGAATAACCCTTTAACCGTACATTTGACAGATACGTGCGCATTGACTTTTTTGTAGATCTTATTGAGATACATGTGTGTCTCATTTTTGGTGTCATTTTGCCAAAGCGTACAGGTGTTACACTCAACAATGTGTATTTTCACCTTAGGGGACAAGAAAAAATGGACTTTTTTCTCCTGCCATGGGGGGCGCTCTTTTGGGGAGTAAAAATTCCTTCACAAATGTGTTGATGGCTGGACATTGCATCATCCTAGAAAACTTGGAGGCCAGTGAGGGCAAAAATAAAAAGTTATAAGACTTTTAAATATGTGGATCTTAGGGTTATCTTTGGCGCCCCCTAGAACCTAAACCGTGGGGTGCAGCGTCATGATTTGAATAACTTTTAATGGCCATGGGGTGTAGATTGGCCTGAGCAAATGTGGTGCCGGTGGAACGAAAGCCTTCGGAGGAGTTAGCGAAATTCCAATGTGTGCGGATCGGCAAAAAATGCGAAATAACCCTTTAACCGTACATTTGACAGATACGCCCGCACTGACTTTTTTGTAGATCTTATTGAGATACATGTGTGTGTCAATTTTTGTGTCATTTTGACAAAGCGTACAGGCGTGACAGTGAATAGTGTGAATTTTCACCTTAGGGGGCGCTATGGAGCCATTTTGCATTTTCTGGTTTGGGCGACTTCGGAATATCAAATTTTTCACCAGGCCCGGTCGTCCTGCCAAATTTCATGAGTTTTCACCAGTGGGAAGTGGGCCATTTTCCAGTTCAAAGGGGAGGAAAAATAATAATAACTAGGACCCCGTTGGGGCACTGGCGGGCCCGAGCCGTGTCGCGTCCCCCCCCCCAACGTGCTGCCTCCCCGTCCCATTTGTGTCCTCTGGCCATCGCCCTCTCTGGTAACGCCCATCACTGCAAAGACCCTTTTCCTTCATCGGCGTTTGCTGTTCTTCCTGCCAGTGCGTGTTGCTTTCACTTACACTTGCCACAGCCAGCCTCGTGAGTGCCTAGCCTATTGGATATCACTGTCACCTACACAGGACAGTCATTACCTTTCTATTAATACTTTGTGTTTTAATTTCACATTAATTTCCATATTGTATAAACGACTGGAAAAAACTTGAGCCCCTGCCCCTGTATAATCATGTGCATGTCTCTGTTCTAGCTCCAAGGTGAATCTTCACTGCTCATGTTCTCCTCAGAAGCACTCACCTCACTCCCCTCAGGTTACTGTACACATGCACCAACTGCCTGCTTCAGGTTTGGATGGAGCTTCATGGTTGTCTTTTGGAGAAATGACCAGTCAAGTTGTGTTTGAAATTTGATTTTTTTCAGGGGCAAAAGGAGCCTCTGCATTCTTGTCAAATATGTAAATAGCATGTTTTTGCAGGTGCTAAAAACCAGACTCTGAGTGTGTGTGTGTGTGTGTGTGTGCGTGTGTGTGTGTCTGTGTGTGCGTTCAAGTCACATTACATATTTAACCGGATGTAGCAGCAAGACGGAGCCTCGTTGACTCTCCGTTTCAACTTATCTCAAAAGTGAGGACCTCAAACTATACACCAGTTTTCAAATTGTGTTGATAGGCCAAATAAAACCAGAGTTATGATAAATTATGTCCGCGATACTTTTTTTCTGCTTATTTTGATCACGTTCGGCGCTCGATCGCGCTGTATGAGACAGGAAAACATAGCATGCAGACATTAGCGACAGGTCTTACAGGCGGAAAAGGCTTGCCAAAGAAAAAAAAAACACACCACAACATCTCTCCTATTGGTGGAAAACTTCACCACAACAACCAATCCAAAATTATATGGTGACTGATTGACAAGGGGGGGCGCTTACGTTCTTCCTGCAACATGAGAAGGGAGGGAGGAACTCTCAGCAGGGATGCAGTCTGGGACACGTAGTTGCAAACCTAGCGACTTTGTTGTTAGATTCAATGACTTTTCAGACCCCCTAACGACTTTTTTTTAGAAAGAAAGGGACTTTTATCGACTTCTTCTGGAGTTTAGAGACTCTGACATGAAGCAGGCTTTCCTTACTGAGGAGTTAGCAACGCTGCTAAGGGTGCAGAGCCACACATGCGCTCCGAGCTCTGCATGGGAGACTAAAGCTGACAGAGCTGCAGCAGTTAGCAGGTTTCACCCTCAGAGACCACCAGGGGTTCATGTTGAGGCATTTTCAGTTTTTTTTTTTTTTTGCCATAGACACTGTCAGCACAATCTGCAGTTACACTAACAAAAATGCTGCAAAAAACAAAGAATTATGGAAAGATTACACATGGACTGACATAGAGGAGGATCTACACAAGTTTTTTACATCATGTTTTACATCATGCATCATTTACATCATGTTTTTTTGTAGTGGCATAAATAAAAAGTGACATTTGTGAGACTATACAGTGTTTTGTAAATAATTTTACAAAGAACGCCTGGGCCATTGCCTGCATTTTGATGTAAATAGAGGTAAATTACTATGTTCTTTGTTAAAAATTTGCATATGTTTTGAAGTTTACAATTTTTATTTGAAGTTTAAGTTTTAAAAACAGTTCATCACATATATTTGTGGTTTAATTTCACATTAATTTCCATATTGTATAAATGACTGGAAAAAACTTGAGCCCCTGCCCCTGTATAATCATGTGCACGTCCCTGTTCTAGCTCCAAGGTGAATCTTCACTGCTCATGTTCTCCTCAGAAATAGTCACCTCACTCCCCTCAGGTTACTGTACACATGCACCAACTATCTGCTTCAGGTTTGGATGGAGCTTCATGGTTGTCTTTTGGAGAAATGAACAGTCAAGTTGTGTTTGAAATTTGATTTTTTTCAGGGGCAAAAGGAGCCTCTGCATTCTTGTCAAATATGTAAACAGCATGTTTTTGCAGGTGCTAAAAAACAGACTCTGAGTGTGTGTGTGTGTGTGTGTGTGTGTGTGTGTGTGTGTGTGTGTGTGTGTATGTATGTTGGCGTGTGTGTATATGTGTGTGTATCCTGCAGTACTCTGTACTCCTGCAGTGGCCAAAAAGACTTTTAAGAATGTGGATTTTTGGGTCATCTTTGGCGCCCCCTAGAACTGCAGTACTCTGTACTCCTGCAGTGGCCAAAATGACTTTTAAGAATGTGGATTTTTGGGTCATCTTTGGCGCCCCCTAGAACGTAAACCGTGGGGTGCAGCATCATGATTTTTACAACTTTGAATGGGCATGGGGTGTAGATTGCCCTGAGCAAATTTGGTATCGGTGGGACGAAAGCCTTAGGAGGAGATAGCCACATTCCAATGTGTGCGAATCGGCAAAAATGCAAAATAGCCCTTTAACCGTACATTATACAGATACGCGCTCTTTGACTTTTTCATAGATCTAATTGAGATACACATGATTCTCAATTTTTGTGTCAATATGACATAGGTTCAGGCGTGACACTCAACAATGTGTATTTTCATGTAAGGGGACAAGAAAAAATTGACTTTTTTCTCCTACCATGGGGGGCGCTCTTTTGGGGAGTAAAAATTCCTTCACAAATGTGTTGATGGCTGGACATTGCATCATCCTAGAAAACTTGGAGGCCAGTGAGGACAAAAAAAAAAGTTATAAAACATTTAAGAATGTGGATTTTTGGGTTATTTTTGGCGCCCCCTAGAACCTAAACCATGGGATGCAGCGTCATGATTTGAATAACTTTTAATGGCCATGGGGTGTAGATTGGCCTGAGCAAATGTGGTGCCAGTGGAACGAAAGCCTTCGGAGGAGTTAGCGAAATTCCAATGTGTGCGTATCGGCAAAAAATGCGGAATAACCCTTTAACCGTACATTTGACAGATACGCGCGCAGGACTTTTTTGTAGATCTTATTGAGATACATGTGTGTGTCAATTTTTGTGTAATTTTGACAAAGCGTACAGGCGTGACAGTCAATAGTGTGAATTTTCACCTTATGGGACAAGAAAAAATGGACTTTTTTCTCCTGCCATGGGGGGGCGCTCTTTTGGGGAGTAAAAATTCCTTCACAAATGTGTTGATGGCTGGACATTGCATCATCCTAGAAAACTTGGAGGCCAGTGAGGGCAAAAATAAAAAGTTATAAGACTTTGAAATATGTGGATTTTAGGGTTATCTTTGGCGCCCCCTAGAACCTAAACCGTGGGGTGCAGCGTCATGATTTGAATAACTTTTAATGGCCATGGGGTGTAGATTGGCCTGAGCAAATGTGGTGCCGGTGGAACGAAAGCCTTCGGAGGAGTTAGCGAAATTCCAATGTGTGCGGATCGGCAAAAAATGCGCAATAACCCTTTAACCGTACATTTGACAGATACGCCCGCACTGACTTTTTTGTAGATCTTATTGAGATACATGTGTGTGTCAATTTTTGTGTCATTTTGACAAAGCGTACAGGCGTCAGGTGAATTTTTCACCTTAGGGGGCGCTATGGAGCCATTTTGCATTGTATTGTTTGGACGACTTCAGAATATCAAATTTTTCACCAGGCCCGGTCGTCCTGCCAAATTTCATGAGTTTTCGCCAGTGGGAAGTGGGCCATTTTCCAGTTCAAAGGGGAGGAAAAAGAAAAAAGAAACAAAGAAAAACCACTTGGGGAATAATAGGGCTCTCGCAGCTGCTTAGCAGCTACGCTCGGGCCCTAATAATACTAGGGCCCCGTTGGGGCACTGGCGGGCCCGAGCCGCGTCACGCCGCCCCCAGCGCGACCGCCTCCCCCACCCGATCGCGTCACACTCAAGGTCCAAAGATGGTGTGCACACTTGTTTGTGGTCATTTACCATTATAATGAACGGGAGGCGCAGTTTCTACCAAAACGCTCGCTGCAGAAAAACTCCATGTCCTATTTGAAAAAAGTCTGGACCATGAGTGAGGGCACAAACACAGCTAAGATATATCCAAATGGCAAGTTGCTCCTCTTTTCGCTTTTGCCGAGAGAGCAGTGCGTTTGAGCCATTGAATGATGAACAGGAAAAACTTGACTTTATTCTCCTGCCATGGGGGGGCGCTCTTTTAACGAGAAAAAACTCCTTCACAAATGTGTTGATGGCTGGACATTGCATCATCCTAGAAAACATGGAGGCCAGTGAGGACAAAAATAAAAAGTTATAAGACTTTGAAATATGTGGATTTTAGGGTTACTTTGGCGCCCCCTAGAACTTAAACCGTGGGGTGCAGCGTCATGATTTGAATAACTTTTAATGGCCATGGGGTGTAGATTGGCCTGAGCAAATGTGGTGCCGGTGGAACGAAAGCCTTCGTAGGAGTTAGCGAAATTCCAATGTGTGCGAATCGGCAAAAAATGCAAAATAACCCTTTAACCGTACATTTTACAGATACGTGGCCATTGACTTTTTCGAAGATCTTATTGAAAGACACGTGTATGTAAAATTTTGTGTCAATACGACAAAACATACAGGCGTAGCACTCAACAATGTGTATTTTCACCTTAGTGGACAAGAAAAAATGGACTTTTTTCTCCTGCCATGGGGGGGCGCTCTTTTGGCGAGTAAAAATTCCTTCACAAATGTGTTGATGGCTGGACATTGCATCATCCTAGAAAACTTGGAGGCCAGTGGGGACAAAAATAAAAAGTTATAAGACTTTTAAATATGTGGATTTTACGGTTATCTTTGGCGCCCCCTAGAACCTAAACCGTGGGGTGCAGCGTCATGATTTGAATAACTTTTAATGGCCATGGGGTGTAGATTGGCCTGAGAAAATGTGGTGCCGGTAGAACGAAAGCCTTCGGAGGAGTTAGCGAAATTCCAATGTGTGCGGATCGGCAAAAAATGCGGAATAACCCTTTAACCGTACATTTGACAGATACGTGCGCATTGACTTTTTTGTAGATCTTATTGAGATACATGTGTGTCTCATTTTTGGTGTCATTTTGCCAAAGCGTACAGGTGTTACACTCAACAATGTGTATTTTCACCTTAGGGGACAAGAAAAAATGGACTTTTTTCTCCTGCCATGGGGGGGCGCTCTTTTGGGGAGTAAAAATTCCTTCACAAATGTGTTGATGGCTGGACATTGCATCATCCTAGAAAACTTGGAGGCCAGTGAGGGCAAAAATAAAAAGTTATAAGACTTTTAAATATGTGGATCTTAGGGTTATCTTTGGCGCCCCCTAGAACCTAAACCGAGGGGTGCAGCGTCATGATTTGAATAACTTTTAATGGCCATGGGGTGTAGATTGGCCTGAGCAAATGTGGTGCCGGTGGAACGAAAGCCTTCGGAGGAGTTAGCGAAATTCCAATGTGTGCGGACGGGAAAAAATGCGAAATAACCCTTTAACCGTACATTTGACAGATACGCCCGCACTGACTTTTTTGTAGATCTTATTGAGATACATGTGTGTGTCAATTTTTGTGTCATTTTGACAAAGCGTACAGGCGTGACAGTGAATAGTGTGAATTTTCACCTTAGGGGGCGCTATGGAGCCATTTTGCATTTTCTGGTTTGGGCGACTTCGGAATATCAAATTTTTCACCAGGCCCGGTCGTCCTGCCAAATTTCATGAGTTTTCACCAGTGGGAAGTGGGCCATTTTCCAGTTCAAAGGGGAGGAAAAATAATAATAACTAGGACCCCGTTGGGGCACTGGCGGGCCCGAGCTGTGTGGCGTCCCCCCCCCAACGCGCTGCCTCCCCGTCCCATTTGTGTCCTCTGGCCATCGCCCTCTCTGGTAACGCCCATCACTGCAAAGACTCTTTTCCTTCATCGGCGTTTGCTGTTCTTCCTGCCAGTGCGTGTTGCTTTCACTTACACTTGCCACAGCCAGCCTCGTGAGTGCCTAGCCTATTGGATATCACTGTCACCTACACAGGACAGTCATTACCTTTCTATTAATACTTTGTTTTTTAATTTCACATTAATTTCCATATTGTATAAACGACTGGAAAAAACTTGAGCCCCTGCCCCTGTATAATCATGTGCACGTCTCTGTTCTAGCTCTAAGGTGAATCTTCACTGCTCATGTTCTCCTCAGAAGCAGTCACCTCACTCCCCTCAGGTTACTGTACACATGCACCAACTGCCTGCTTCAGGTTTGGATGGAGCTTCATGGTTGTCTTTTGGAGAAATGACCAGTCAAGTTGTGTTTGAAATTTGATTTTTTTCAGGGGCAAAAGGAGCCTCTGCATTCTTGTCAAATATGTAAATAGCATGTTTTTGCAGGTGCTAAAAACCAGACTCTGAGTGTGTGTGTGCGTGTGTGTGTGTGCGTGTGTGTGTGTGTGTGTGTGTGTGTGTGTGCGTTCAAGTCACATGACATATTTAACCGGATGTAGCTGCAAGACGGAGCCTCGTTGACTCTCCGTTTCAACTTATCTCAAAAGTGAGGACCTCAACCTATATACCAGTTTTTAAATTGTGTTGATAGGCCAAATAAAACCAGAGTTATGATAAATTATGTCGGCGATACTTGTTTTCAGCTTATTTTGATCACGTTCGGCGCTCGATCGCGCTGTATGAGACAGGAAAACATAGCATGCAGACATTAGCGACAGGTCTTACAGCGGAAAAGGCTTGCCAAAGGAAAAAAAAAAACACACCACAACATCTCTCCTATTGGTGGAAAACTTCACCACAACAACCAATCCAAAATTATATGGTGACTGATTGACAAGGGTGGGCGCTTACGTTCTTCCTGCAATATGAGAAGGGAGGGAGGGACTCTCAGCAGGGATGCAGTCTGGGACACGTAGTTGCAAAGAATTATGGAAAAATTACACATGGACTGACATAGAGGAGGATCTACACAAGTTTTTTACATCATGTTTTACATCATGCATCATTTACATCATGTTTTTTTGTAGTGGCATAAATAAAAAGTGACATTTGTGAGACTATACAGTGTTTTGTAAATAATTTTACAAAGAACACCTGGGCCATTGCCTGCATTTTGATGTAAATAGAGGTAAATTACTATGTTCTTTGTTAAAAATTTGCATATGTTTTGAAGTTTACAATTTTTATTTGAAGTTTAAGTTTTAAAAACAGTTCATCACACATATTTGTGGTTTTCACAGTAAAAACGTTACTTTTTTCCACTCGGATTTTATGTTTTGTGTGTGAATTTGGGTCCAATGTGTAAATATAGTATGTCAAAATGATAAAATAACTGTAAATTGACACAGGTGAGGTTGTGCTGAAAAAAATGATACCAGGCAAGGCAAGGTAAAAATTTTGTAAGAGGAAATATAAAGGTAAAATCTAAAGTAGTCAAAAACGGCCAATAGTGACTCACAGACTCCACAGACAAGTCCCTTTGGCGCCACTCAGTGGGCAAAACTACTTTGTCTACTGTAATGTATATTTGGGTCATCTTTGGCGCCCCCTAAAACGTAAACCGTGGGGTGCAGCGTCATGATTTTTACAACTTTGAATGGCCATGGAGTGTAGATTGGCCTGAGCAAATTTGGTGTCAGTGGGACGAAAGCCTTAGGAGGAGTTAGCGAAATTCCAATGTGTGCGAATCGGCAAAAAATGCAAAATAGCCCTTTTACCGTACATTATACAGATACGCGCTCTTTGACTTTTTCGTAGATCTAATTGAGATACACATGATTGTCAATTTTTGTGTCATTTTGCCAAAGCGTACAGGCGTGACAGTCAACAATGTGTATTTTCACCTTAGGGGACAAGAAAAAATGGACTTTTTTCTCCTGCCATGGGGGGCGCTCTTTTAGGGAGTAAAAATTCCTTCACAAATGTGTTGATGGCTGGACATTGCATCATCCTAGAAAACTTGGAGGCCAGTGAGGACAAAAATAAAAAGTTATAAGACTTTGAAATATGTGGATTTTAGGGTTATCTTTGGCGCCCCCTAGAACCTAAACCGTGGGGTGCAGCGTCATGATTTGAATAACTTTTAATGGCCATGGGGTGTAGATTGGCCTGAGCAAATGTGGTGCCGGTTGAACGAAAGCCTTCGGAGGAGTTAGCGAAATTCCAATGTGTGCGGATCGGCAAAAAATGCGAAATAACCCTTTAACCGTACATTTGACAGATACGCCCGCACTGACTTTTTTGTAGATCTTAATGAGATACATGTGTGTGTCAATTTTTGTGTCATTTTGACAAAGCGTACAGGCGTGACAGTCAATAGTGTGAATTTTCACCTTATGGGACAAGAAAAAATGGACTTTTTTCTCCTGCCATGGGGGGGCGCTCTTTTGGGGAGTGAAAATTCCTTCACAAATGTGTTGATGGCTGGACATTGCATCATCCTAGAAAACTTGGAGGCCAGTGAGGGCAAAAATAAAAAGTTATAAGACTTTGAAATATGTGGATTTTAGGGTTATCTTTGGCGCCCCCTAGAACCTAAACCGTGGGGTGCAGCGTCATGATTTGAATAACTTTTAATGGCCATGGGGTGTAGATTGGCCTGAGCAAATGTGGTGCCGGTGGAACGAAAGCCTTCGGAGGAGTTAGCGAAATTCCAATGTGTGCGGATCTGCAAAAAATGCGCAATAACCCTTTAACCGTACATTTGACAGATACGCCCGCACTGACTTTTTTGTAGATCTTATTGAGATACATGTGTGTGTCAATTTTTGTGTCATTTTGACAAAGCGTACAGGCGTCAGGTGAATTTTTCACCTTAGGGGGCGCTATGGAGCCATTTTGCATTGTATTGTTTGGGCGACTTCAGAATATCAAATTTTTCACCAGGCCCGGTCGTCCTGCCAAATTTCATGAGTTTTCGCCAGTGGGAAGTGGGCCATTTTCCAGTTCAAAGGGGAGGAAAAAGAAAAAAGAAACAAAGAAAAACCACTTGGGGAATAATAGGGCTCTCGCAGCTGCTTAGCAGCTACGCTCGGGCCCTAATAATAATAATAACAAAAGAAGGAAACTACAGGAACAAGAGGGCTCTCGCAGCTGCTTAGCAGCTACGCTCGGGCCCTAAAAAACCACTTGGGGAATAATAGGGCCTACGCCCGGCTGCTCTGCAGCTGGCTCGGGCCCTAACTAGGACCCCGTTGGGGCACTGTCGGGCCCGAGCCGTGTCGCGCCGCCCCCAGTGCGACCGCCTCCCCCTCCCGATCGCGTCACACTCAAGATCCAAAGATGGTGTGCGCACTTGTCTGTGGTCATTTCCTATTATAATGAATGGGAGGCGCAGTTTCTACCAAAACACTCGCTGCAGACAAACTTCATGTCCTATTTGAAAAAAGTCTGGACCATGAGTGAGGGCACAAACACAGCTATGATATATCGAAATGGCAGGTTGCTCCTCCTTACGGTGTTGCCTGGAGAGCGATGCGATTGAGCCATTGAGCGATGGGCAGGAAAAAACTTTTTCTCCTGCCATATGGGGGGGGGGGGGGGGGGGGTGTGGATTCTTTGAAATATGTGGATTTTTGGGTCATCTTTGGCGCCCCCTAGAAAGTAAACCGTGGGGTGCAGCGTCATGATTTGAATAACTTTTAATGGCCATGGGGTGTAGATTGGCCTGAGCAAATTTGGTTTCAGTGGGACGAAAGCCTTAGGAGGAGTTAGCCACATTCCAATGTGTGCGAATCGGCAAAAAATGCAAAATAGCCCTTTAACCGTACATTTGACAGATACGCGCTAATCGACTCTTTTGTAGATCTTATTGAGATACATATGTGTGTCAATTTTTGTGTCAATATGATAAAGCGTACAGGCGTGACAGTCAATAGTGTGAATTTCCACCTTAGGGGACAAGAAAAAATTGGCTTTTTTTTCCTGCCATGGGGGGGCGCTCTTTTGGGGAGTAAAAATTCCTTCACAAATGTGTTGATGGCTGGACATTGCATCATCCTAGAAAACTTGGAGGCCAGTGAGGACAAAAATAAAAAGTTATAAGACTTTTAAATATGTGGATTTTAGGGTTATCTTTGGCGCCCCCTAGAACCTAAACCGTGGGATGCAGCGTCATGATTTGAATAACTTTTAATGGCCATGGGGTGTAGATTGGCCTGAGCAAATGTGGTACGGGTGGAATGAAAGCCTTCGGAGGAGTTAGCGAAATTCCAATGTGTGCGGATCGGCAAAAAATGCGGAATAACCCTTTAACCGTACATTTGACAGATACGCGCGCATTGACTTTTTCGTAGATCTTATTGAGATACATGTGTGTGTCAATTTTTGTGTCATTTTGCCAAAGCGTACAGGTGTTACACTCAACAATGTGTATTTTCGCCTTAGGGGACAAGAAAAAATGGACTTTTTTCTCCTGCCATGGGGGGCGCTCTTTTGGGGAGTAAAAATTCCTTCACAAATGTGTTGATGGCTGGACATTGCCTCATCCTAGAAAACTTGGAGGCCAGTGAGGGCAAAAATAAAAAGTTATAAGACTTTTAAATATGTGGATCTTAGGGTTATCTTTGGCGCCCCCTAGAACCTAAACCGTGGGGTGCAGCGTCATGATTTGAATAACTTTTAATGGCCATGGGGTGTAGATTGGCCTGAGCAAATGTGGTGCCGGTGGAACGAAAGCCTTCGGAGGAGTTAGCGAAATTCCAATGTGTGCGGATCGGCAAAAAATGCGAAATAACCCTTTAACCGTACATTTGACAGATACGCCCGCACTGACTTTTTTGTAGATCTTATTGAGATACATGTGTGTGTCAATTTTTGTGTCATTTTGACAAAGCGTACAGGCGTGACAGTCAATAGTGTGAATTTTCACCTTAGGGGGCGCTATGGAGCCATTTTGCATTTTCTTGTTTGGGCGACTTCGGAATATCAAATTTTTCACCAGGCCCGGTCGTCCTGCCAAATTTCATGAGTTTTCGCCAGTGGGAAGTGGGCCATTTTCCAGTTCAAAGGGGAGGAAAAATAATAACTAGGACCCCGTTGGGGCACTGGCGGGCCCGAGCCGTGTCGCGTCCCCCCCCCAACGCGCTGCCTCCCCGTCCCATTTGTGTCCTCTGGCCATCGCCCTCTCTGGTAACGCCCATCACTGCAAAGACCTTTTTCCTTCATCGGCGTTTGCTGTTCTTCCTGCCAGTGCGTGTTGCTTTCACTTACACTTGCCACAGCCAGCCTCGTGAGTGCCTAGCCTATTGGATATCACTGTCACCTACACAGGACAGTCATTACCTTTCTATTAATACTTTGTTTTTTAATTTCACATTAATTTCCATATTGTATAAACAACTGGAAAAAACTTGAGCCCCTGCCCCTGTATAATCATGTGCACGTCTCTGTTCTAGCTCTAAGGTGAATCTTCACTGCTCATGTTCTCCTCAGAAGCAGTCACCTCACTCCCCTCAGGTAACTGTACACATGCACCAACTGCCTGCTTCAGGTTTGGATGGAGCTTCATGGTTGTCTTTTGGAGAAATGACCAGTCAAGTTGTGTTTGAAATTTGATTTTTTTCAGGGGCAAAAGGAGCCTCTGCATTCTTGTCAAATATGTAAATAGCATGTTTTTGCAGGTGCTAAAAACCAGACTCTGAGTGTGTGTGTGTGTGCGTGTGTGTGTGTGTGTGTGTGTGTGTGTGTGTGTGTGTGTGTGTGTGTGTGTGTGTGCGTTCAAGTCACATGACATATTTAACCGGATGTAGCTGCAAGACGGAGCCTCGTTGACTCTCCGTTTCAACTTATCTCAAAAGTGAGGACCTCAACCTATATACCAGTTTTTAAATTGTGTTGATAGGCTAAATAAAACCAGAGTTATGATAAATTATGTCCGCGATACTTTTTTTCTGCTTATTTTGATCACGTTCGGCGCTCGATCGCGCTGTATGAGACAGGAAAAGATAGCATGCAGACATTAGCGACAGGTCTTACAGGCGGAAAAGGCTTGCCAAAAGAAAAAACACACCACAACATCTCTCCTATTGGTGGAAAACTTCACCACAACAACCAATCCAAAATTATATGGTGACTGATTGACAAGGGGCGGGCGCTTACGTTCTTCCTGCAACATGAGAAGGGAGGGAGGGACTCTCAGCAGGGATGCAGTCTGGGACACGTAGTTGCAAACCTAGCGACTTTGTTGTTAGATTCAATGACTTTTCAGACCCCCTAACGACTTTTTTTTAGAAAGAAAGGGACTTTTATCGACTTCTTCTGGAGTTTAGAGACTCTGACATGAAGCAGGCTTTCCTTACTGAGGAGTTAGCAACGCTGCTAAGGGTGCAGAGCCACACATGCGCTCAGAGCTCTGCATGGGAGACTGAAGCTGACAGAGCTGCAGCAGTTAGCAGGTTTCACCCTCAGAGACCACCAGGGGTTCATGTTGAGGCATTTTAAATTTTTTTTTTTTTTGTGCCATAGACACTGTCAGCACAATCTGCAGTTACACTAACAAAAATGCTGCAAAAAACAAAGAATTATGGAAAAATTACACATGGACTGACATAGAGGAGGATCTACACAAGTTTTTTACATCATGTTTTACATCATGCATCATTTACATCATGTTTTTTTGTAGTGGCATAAATAAAAAGTGACATTTGTGAGACTATACAGTGTTTTGTAAATAATTTTACAAAGAACGCCTGGGCCATTGCCTGCATTTTGATGTAAATAGAGGTAAATTACTATGTTCTTTGTTAAAAATTTGCATATGTTTTGAAGTTTACAATTTTTATTTGAAGTTTAAGTTTTAAAAACAGTTCATCACACATATTTGTGGTTTAACTTCACATTAATTTCCATATTGTATAAATGACTGGAAAAAACTTGAGCCCCTGTCCCTGTATAATCATGTGCACGTCCCTGTTCTAGCTCCAAGGTGAATCTTCACTGCTCATGTTCTCCTCAGAAATAGTCACCTCACTCCCCTCAGGTTACTGTACACATGCACCAACTATCTGCTTCAGGTTTGAAATGGAGCTTCATGGTTGTCTTTTGGAGAAATGAACAGTCAAGTTGTGTTTGAAATTTGATTTTTTTCAGGGGCAAAAGGAAGCCTCTGCATTCTTGTCAAATATGTAAACAGCATGTTTTTGCAGGTGCTAAAAAACAGACTCTGAGTGTGTGTGTGTGTCTGTGTGTGTGTGTGTGTGTGTGTGTGTGTGTGTGTGTGTGTGTGTGTGTATGTTGGCGTGTGTGTATATGTGTGTGTATCCTGCAGTACTCTGTACTCCTGCAGTGGCCAAAAAGACTTTTAAGAATGTGGATTTTTGGGTCATCTTTGGCGCCCCCTAGAACTGCAGTACTCTGTACTCCTGCAGTGGCCAAAATGACTTTTAAGAATGTGGATTTTTGGGTCATCTTTGGCGCCCCCTAGAACGTAAACCGTGGGGTGCAACGTCATGATTTTTACAACTTTGAATGGGCATGGGGTGTAGATTGCCCTGAGCAAATTTGGTATCGGTGGGACGAAAGCCTTAGGAGGAGATAGCCACATTCCAATGTGTGCGAATCGGCAAAAAATGCAAAATAGCCCTTTAACCGTACATTATACAGATACGCGCTCTTTGACTTTTTCGTAGATCTAATTGAGATACACATGATTGTCAATTTTTGTGTCAATATGACAAAGCGTTCAGGCGTGACACTCAACAATGTGTATTTTTATGTAAGGGGACAAGAAAAAATGGACTTTTTTCTCCTACCATGGGGGGGCGCTCTTTTGGGGAGTAAAAATTCCTTCACAAATGTGTTGATGGCTGGACATTGCATCATCCTAGAAAACTTGGAGGCCAGTGAGGACAAAAATAAAAAGTTATAAAACATTTAAGAATGTGGATTTTTGGGTTATCTTTGGCGCCCCCTAGAACCTAAACCATGGGGTGCAGCATCATGATTTGAATAACTTTTAATGGCCATGGGGTGTAGATTGGCCTGAGCAAATGTGGTGCCGGTGGAACGAAAGCCTTCGGAGGAGTTAGCGAAATTCCAATGTGTGCGTATCGGCAAAAAATGCGGAATAACCCTTTAACTGTACATTTGACAGATACGCGCGCATGGACTTTTTTGTAGATCTTATTGAGTTACATGTGTGTGTCAATTTTTGTGTCATTTTGACAAAGCGTATAGGCGTGACACTCAACAATGTGTATTTTCACCTTAGGGGACAAGAAAAAATGGACTTTTTTCTCCTGCCATGGGGGGGCGCTCTTTTGGGGAGTAAAAATTCCTTCACAAATGTGTTGATGGCTGGACATTGCATCATCCTAGAAAACTTGGAGGCCAGTGAGGACAAAAATAAAAAGTTATAAGACTTTTAAATATGTGGATTTTAGGGTTATCTTTGGCGCCCCCTAGAACCTAAACCGTGGGGTGCAGCGTCATGATTTGAATAACTTTTAATGGCCATGGGGTGTAGATTGGCCTGAGCAAATGTGGTGCCGGTGGAACGAAAGCCTTCGGAGGAGTTAGCGAAATTCCAATGTGTGCAGATCTGCAAAAAATGCAAAATAACCCATAAACCGTACATTTGACAGATACGCCCGCACTGACTTTTTTGTAGATCTTATTGAGATACATGTGTGTGTCAATTTTTGTGTCATTTTGACAAAGCGTACACGCGTGACAGTCAATAGTGTGAATTTTCACCTTAGGGGGCGCTATGGAGCCATTTTGCATTTTCTTGTTTGGGCGACTTCGGAATATCAAATTTTTCACCAGGCCCGGTCGTCCTGCCAAATTTCATGAGTTTTCGCCAGTGGGAAGTGGGCCATTTTCCAGTTCAAAGGGGAGGAAAAATAATAATAATAACAAAAGAAGGAAACATGCAGGAACAAGAGGGCTCTCGCAGCTGCTTAGCAGCTACGCTCGGGCCCTAAAAAACCACTTGGGGAATAATAGGGCTCTCGCAGCTGCTTAGCAGCTACGCTCGGGCCCTAATAACAAAAGAAGGAAACTACAGGAACAAGAGGGCTCTCGCAGCTGCTTAGCAGCTACGCTCGGGCCCTAACTAGGACCCCGTTGGGGCACTGGCGGGCCCGAGCTGTGTCGCGTCCCCCCCCCAACGCGCTGCCTCCCCGTCCCATTTGTGTCCTCTGGCCATCGCCCTCTCTGGTAACGCCCATCACTGCAAAGACCCTTTTCCTTCATCTGCGTTTGCTGTTCTTCCTGCCAGTGCGTGTTGCTTTCACTTACACTTGCCACAGCCAGCCTCTTGAGTGCCTAGCCCCTGCCCATGTATAATCATGTGCACGTCTCTGTTCTAGCTCTAAGGTGAATCTTCACTGCTCATGTTCTCCTCAGAAGCAGTCACCTCACTCCCCTCAGGTTACTGTACACATGCACCAACTGCCTGCTTCAGGTTTGGATGGAGCTTCATGGTTGTCTTTTGGAGAAATGACCAGTCAAGTTGTGTTTGAAATTTGATTTTTTTCAGGGGCAAAAGGAGCCTCTGCATTCTTGTCAAATATGTAAATAGCATGTTTTTGCAGGTGCTAAAAACCAGACTCTGAGTGTGTGTGTGTGCGTGTGTGTGTGTGTCTGTGTGTGTGTGTGTGTGCGTTCAAGTCACATGACATATTTAACCGGATGTAGCTGCAAGACGGAGCCTCGTTGACTCTCCGTTTCAATTTATCTCAAAAGTGAGGACCTCAACCTATATATCAGTTTTTAAATTGTGTTGATAGGCCAAATAAAACCAGAGTTATGATAAATTATGTCCACGATACTTGTTTTCTGCTTATTTTGATCACGTTCGGCGCTCGATCGCGCTGTATGAGACAGGAAAACATAGCATGCAGACATTAGCGACAGGTCTTACAGGCGGAAAAGGCTTGCCAAAGGAAAAAAAAACACACCACAACATCTCTCCTATTGGTGGAAAACTTCACCACAACAACCAATCCAAAATTATATGGTGACTGATTGACAAGGGGCGGGAACTTACGTTCTTCCTGCAATATGAGAAGGGAGGGAGGGACTCTCAGCAGGGATGCAGTCTGGGACACGTAGTTGCAAACCTAGCGACTTTGTTGTTAGATTCAATGACTTTTCAGACCCCCTAACGACTTTTTTTTTAGAAAGAAAGTGACTTTTATCGACTTCTTCTGGAGTTTAGAGACTCTGACATGAAGCAGGCTTTCCTTACTGAGGAGTTAGCAACGCTGCTAAGGGTGCAGAGCCACACATGCGCTCCGAGCTCTGCATGGGAGACTGAAGCTGACAGAGCTGCAGCAGTTAGCAGGTTTCACCCTCAGAGACCACCAGGGGTTCATGTTGAGGCATTTTCAGTTTTTTTTTTTTTTTTTGCCATAGACACTGTCAGCCTAATCTGCAGTTACACTAACAAAAATGCTGCAAAAAACAAGAATTATGGAAAAATTACACATGGACTAACATAGAGGAGGATCTACACAAGTTTTTTACATCATGTTTTACATCATGCATCATTTACATCATGTTTTTTTGTAGTGGCATAAATAAAAAGTGACATTTGTGAGACTATACAGTGTTTTGTAAATAATTTTACAAAGAACACCTGGGCCATTGCCTGCATTTTGATGTCAATAGAGGTAAATTACTATGTTCTTTGTTAAAAATTTGCATATGTTTTGAAGTTTACAATTTTTATTTGAAGTTTAAGTTTTAAAAACAGTTCATCACACATATTTGTGGTTTTCACAGTAAAAACGTTACTTTTTTCCACTCGGATTTTATGTTTTGTGTGTGAATTTGGGTCCAATGTGTAAATATAGTATGTCAAAATGATAAAATAACTGTAAATTGACACAGGTGAGGTTGTGCTGAAAAAAATGATACCAGGCAAGGCAAGGTAAAAATTTTGTAAGAGGAAATATAAAGGTAAAATCTAAAGTAGTCAAAAACGGCCAATAGTGACTCACAGACTCCACAGACAAGTCCCTTTGGCGCCACTCAGTGGGCAAAACTACTTTGTCTACTGTAATGTATATTTGGGTCATCTTTGGCGCCCCCTAAAACGTAAACCGTGGGGTGCAGCGTCATGATTTTTACAACTTTGAATGGCCATGGAGTGTAGATTGGCCTGAGAAAATTTGGTGTCAGTGGGACGAAAGCCTTAGGAGGAGTTAGCGAAATTCCAATGTGTGCGAATCGGCAAAAAATGCAAAATAGCCCTTTTACCGTACATTATACAGATACGCGCTGATTGACTTTTTCGTAGATCTAATTGAGATACACATGATTGTCAATTTTTGTGTCATTTTGCCAAAGCGTACAGGCGTGACAGTCAACAATGTGTATTTTCACCTTAGGGGACAAGAAAAAATGGACTTTTTTCTCCTGCCATGGGGGGGCGCTCTTTTGGGGAGTAAAAATTCCTTCACAAATGTGTTGATGGCTGGACATTGCATCATCCTAGAAAACTTGGAGGCCAGTGAGGACAAAAATAAAAAGTTATAAGACTTTTAAAAATGTGGATTTTTGGGTTATCTTTGGCGCCCCCTAGAACGTAAACCGTGGGGTGCAGCGTCATGATTTGAATAACTTTTAATGGCCATGGGGTGTAATTTGGCCTGAGCAAATGTGGTGCCGGTGGAACGAAAGCCTTCGGAGGAGTTAGCGAAATTCCAATGTGTGCGAATCGGCAAAAAATGCGGAATAACCCTTTAACCGTACATTAGACAGATACGCGCGCATGGACTTTTTTGTAGATCTTATTGAGATACATGTGTGTGTCAATTTTTGTGTCATTTTGACAAAGCGTACAGGCGTGACACTCAACAATGTGTATTTTCACCTTAGGGGACAAGAAAAAAATGGACTTTTTTCTCCTGCCATGGGGGGCGCTCTTTTGGGGAGTAAAAATTCCTTCACAAATGTGTTGATGGCTGGACATTGCATCATCCTAGAAAACTTGGAGGCCAGTGAGGGCAAAAATAAAAAGTTATAAGACTTTTAAAAATGTGGATTTTAGGGTTATCTTTGGCGCCCCCTAGAACCTAAACCGTGGGGTGCAGCGTCATGATTTGAATAACTTTTAATGGCCATGGGGTGTAGATTGGCCTGAGCAAATGTGGTGCCGGTGGAACGAAAGCCTTCGGAGGAGTTAGCGAAATTCCAATGTGTGCAGATCGGCAAAAAATGCTCAATAACCCTTTAACCGTACATTTGACAGATACGCCCGCACTGACTTTTTTGTAGATCTTATTGAGATACATGTGTGTGTCAATTTTTGTGTCATTTTGACAAAGCGTACAGGCGTGACAGTCAATAGTGTGAATTTTCACCTTAGGGGGCGCTATGGAGCCATTTTGCATTTTCTTGTTTGGGCGACTTCGGAATATCAAATTTTTCACCAGGCCCGGTCGTCCTGCCAAATTTCCTGAGTTTTCGCCAGTGGGAAGTGGGCCATTTTCCAGTTCAAAGGGGAGGAAAAAGAAAAGAACTAGGGCCCCGTTGGGGCACTGGCGGGCCCGAGCCGTGTCGCACCCCCCCCCCCCCCAACGCGCTGCCTCCCCGTCCCATTCGCGTCCTCTGGCCATCGCCCTCTCTGGTAACGCCCATCACTGCAAAGACCCTTTTCCTTCATCGGCGTTTGCTGTTCTTCCTGCCAGTGCGTGTTGCTTTCACTTACACTTGCCACAGCCAGCCTCGTGAGTGCCTAGCCTATTGGATATCACTGTCACCTACACAGGACAGTCATACTTTGTTTTTTAATTTCACATTAATTTCCTTATTGTATAAACGACTGGAAAAAACTTGAGCCCCTGCCCCTGTATTATCATGTGCACGTCCCTGTTCTAGCTCCAAGGTGAATCTTCACTGCTCATGTTCTCCTCAGAAGCAGTCAACTCACTCCCCTCAGGTTACTGTACACATGCACCAACTGCCTGCTTCAGGTTTGGATGGAGCTTCATGGTTGTCTTTTGGAGAAATGAGCAGTCAAGTTGTGTTTGAAATTTGATTTTTTTCAGGGGCAAAAGGAAGCCTCTGCATTCTTGTCAAATATGTAAATAGCATGTTTTTGCAGGTGCTAAAAAACAGACTCTGAGTGTGTGTGTGTGTGTGTGTGTGTGTGTGTGTGTGTGTGTGTGTGTGTCTGTGTGTGTGTGTGTGTGTATCCTGCAGTACTCTGAGAAGAATAATAAGCATATTTCTGAGGTGAATTTTGAAGATTGATCTGAGAGTTAGGTTTGATTCGATTCGATTGACGCTCCCCAGCGTTCAAGTCACATGACATATTTAACCGGATGTAGCTGCAAGACGGAGCCTCGTTAACTCTCCGTTTCAACTTATCTCAAAAGTGAGGACCTCAACCTATATACCAGTTTTTAAATTGTGTTGATAGGCCAAATAAAACCAGAGTTATGATAAATTATGTCCGCGATACTTTTTTTCTGCTTATTTTGATCACGTTCGGCGCTCGATCGCGCTGTATGAGACAGGAAAACATAGCATGCACACATTAGCGACAGGTCTTACAGGCGGAAAAGGCTTGCCTAAAGAAAAAAAAAACACACCACAACATCTCTCCTATTGGTGGAAAACTTCACCACAACAACCAATCCAAAATTATATGGTGACTGATTGACAAGGGGCGGGCGCTTACGTTCTTCCTGCAACATGAGAAGGGAGGGAGGGACTCTCAGCAGGGATGCAGTCTGGGACACGTAGTTGCAAACCTAGCAACTTTGTTGTTAGATTCAATTACTTTTCAGACCCCCTAACGACTTTTTTTAGAAAGAAAGGGACTTTTATCGACTTCTTCTGGAGTTTAGAGACTCTGACATGAAGCAGGCTTTCCTTACTGAGGAGTTAGCAACGCTGCTAAGGGTGCAGAGCCACACATGCGCTCCGAGCTCTGCATGGGAGACTAAAGCTGACAGAGCTGCAGCAGTTAGCAGGTTTCACCCTCAGAGACCACCAGGGGTTCATGTTGAGGCATTTTCAGTTTTTGTTTTTTTTGCCATAGACACTGTCAGCACAATCTGCAGTTACACTAACAAAAATGCTGCAAAAAACAAAGAATTATGGAAAAATTACACATGGACTGACATAGAGGAGGATCTACACAAGTTTTTTACATCATGTTTTACATCATGCATCATTTACATCATGTTTTTTTGTAGTGGCATAAATAAAAAGTGACATTTGTGAGACTATACAGTGTTTTGTAAATAATTTTACAAAGAACGCCTGGGCCATTGCCTGCATTTTGATGTAAATAGAGGTAAATTACTATGTTCTTTGTTAAAAATTTGCATATGTTTTGAAGTTTACAATTTTTATTTGAAGTTTAAGTTTTAAAAACAGTTCATCACACATATTTGTGGTTTAATTTCACATTAATTTCCAAATTGTATAAATGACTGGAAAAAACTTGAGCCCCTGCCCCTATATAATCATGTGCACGTCCCTGTTCTAGCTCCAAGGTGAATCGTCACTGCTCATGTTCTCCTCAGAAATAGTCACCTCACTCCCCTCAGGTTACTGTACACATGCACCAACTATCTGCTTCAGGTTTGGATGGAGCTTCATGGTTGTCTTTTGGAGAAATGAACAGTCAAGTTGTGTTTGAAATCTGATTTTTTTCAGGGGCAAAAGGAAGCCTCTGCATTGTTGTCAAATATGTAAATAGCATGTTTTTGCAGGTGCTAAAAAACAGACTCTGAGTGTGTGTGTGTGTGTGTGTGTGTGTGTGTGTGTGTGTGTGTGTGTGTGTGTATATGTGTGTGTATCCTGCAGTACTCTGTACTCCTGCAGTGGCCAAAAAGACTTTTAAGAATGTGGATTTTTGGGTCATCTTTGGCGCCCCCTAGAACTGCAGTACTCTGTACTCCTGCAGTGGCCAAAATGACTTTTAAGAATGTGGATTTTTGGGTCATCTTTGGCGCCCCCTAGAACGTAAACCGTGGGACGCAGCGTCATGATTTTTACATCTTTGAATGGCCATGGGGTGTAGATTGCCCTGAGCAAATTTGGTATTGGTGGGACGAAAGCCTTAGGAGGGGATAGCCACATTCCAATGTGTGCGAATCGGCAAAAAATGCGAAATAGCCCTTTAACCGTACATTATACAGATACGCGCTTTTTGACTTTTTCGTAGATCTAATTGAGATACACATGATTGTCAATTTTTGTGTCAATATGACAAAGCGTTCAGGCGTGACACTCAACAATGTGTATTTTCATGTAAGGGGACAAGAAAAAATTGACTTTTTTCTCCTGCCATGGGGGGGCGCTCTTTTGGGGAGTAAAAATTCCTTCACAAATGTGTTGATGGCTGGACATTGCATCATCCTAGAAAACTTGGAGGGCAGTGAGGACAAAAATAAAAAGTTATAAGACTTTTAAGAATGTGGATTTTGGGTTATCTTTGGCGCCCCCTAGAACCTAAACCGTGGGGTGCAGCGTCATGATTTGTACAACTTTTAATGGCCATGGGGGGTAGATTGGCCTGCGCAAATGTGGTGCCGGTCGAACGAAAGCCTTCGGAGGAGTTAGCGAAATTCCAATGTGTGCAGATCTGCAAAAAATGCAAAATAACCCATTAACCGTACATTTGACAGATACGCCCGCACTGACTTTTTTGTAGATCTTATTGAGATACATGTGTGTGTCAATTTTTGTGTCAATATGACAAAGTGTACAGCCGTCATGTGAATTTTCACCTTAGGGGGCGCTATGGAGCCATTTTGCATTTTATTGTTTGGGCGACTTCAGAATATCGAATTTTTCACCAGGCCCGGTCGTCCTGCCAAATTTCCTGAGTTTTCGCCAGTGGGAAGTGGGCCATTTTCCAGTTTAAAGCGGAGGAAAAATAATAACGAAAGAAGGAAACATGCAGGAACAAGAGGGCTCTCGCAGCTGCTTAGCAGCTACGCTCGGGCCCTAATAATAATAACAAAAGAAGAATCCATCAGGAACAAGAGGGCTCTCGCAGCTGCTTAGCAGCTACGCTCGGGCCCTAATAAGACTAGGGCCCCGTTGGGGCACTGGCGGGCCCGAGCCGTGTCACGCCGCCCCCAGCACGACCGCCTCCCCCACCCGATCGCGTCACACTCAAGGTCCAAAGATGGTGTGCGCACTTGTTTGTGGTCATTTACCATTATAATGAACGGGAGGCGCAGTTTCTACCAAAACGCTCGCTGCGGAAAAACTCCATGTCCTATTTGAAAAAAGTCTGGACCATGAGTGAGGGCACAAACACAGCTAAGATATATCCAAATGGCAAGTTGCTCCTCCTTTCGCTTTTGCCGAGAGAGCAGTGCGTTTGAGCCATTGAATGATGAACAGGAAAAACTTGACTTTATTCTCCTGCCATGGGGGGCGCTCTTTTAACGAGAAAAAACTCCTTCACAAATGTGTTGATGGCTGGACATTGCATCATCCTAGAAAACATGGAGGCCAGTGAGGACAAAAATAAAAAGTTATAAGACTTTTAAATATGTGGATTTTAGGGTTATCTTTGGCGCCCCCTAGAACCTAAACCGTGGGGTGCAGCGTCATGATTTGAATAACTTTTAATGGCCATGGGGTGTAGATTGGCCTGAGCAAATGTGGTGCCGGTGGAACGAAAGCCTTCGGAGGAGTTAGCGAAATTCCAATGTGTGCGAATCTGCAAAAAATGCGAAATAACCCTTTAACCGTACATTTTACAGATACGTGGCCATTGACTTTTTCGAAGATCTTCTTGAAAGACACGTGTATGTAAAATTTTGTGTCAATACGACAAAACATACAGGCGTAGCACTCAACAATGTGTATTTTCACCTTAGTGGACAAGAAAAAATGGACTTTTTTCTCCTGCCATGGGGGGCGCTCTTTTGGCGAGTAAAAATTCCTTCACAAATGTGTTGATGGCTGGACATTGCATCATCCTAGAAAACTTGGAGGCCAGTGGGGACAAAAATAAAAAGTTATAAGACTTTTAAATATGTGGATTTGACGGTTATCTTTGGCGCCCCCTAGAACCTAAACCGTGGGGTGCAGCGTCATGATTTGAATAACTTTTAATGGCCATGGGGTGTAGATTGGCCTGAGCAAATGTGGTGCCGGTGGAACGAAAGCCTTCGGAGGAGTTAGCGAAATTACAATGTGTGCGGATCGGCAAAAAATGCGGAATAACCCTTTAACCGTACATTTGACAGATACGTGCGCATTGACTTTTTTGTAGATCTTATTGAGATACATGTGTGTGTCAATTTTGGTGTCATTTTGCCAAAGCGTACAGGTGTTACACTCAACAATGTGTATTTTCACCTTAGGGGACAAGAAAAAATGGACTTTTTTCTCCTGCCATGGGGGGCGCTCTTTTGGGGAGTAAAAATTCCTTCACAAATGTGTTGATGGCTGGACATTGCATCATCCTAGAAAACTTGGAGGCCAGTGAGGGCAAAAATAAAAAGTTATAAGACTTTTAAATATGTGGATCTTAGGGTTATCTTTGGCGCCCCCTAGAACCTAAACCGTGGGGTGCAGCGTCATGATTTGAATAACTTTTAATGGCCATGGGGTGTAGATTGGCCTGAGCAAATGTGGTGCCGGTGGAACGAAAGCCTTCGGAGGAGTTAGCGAAATTCCAATGTGTGCGGATCGGCAAAAAATGCGAAATAACCCTTTAACCGTACATTTGACAGATACGCCCGCACTGACTTTTTTGTAGATCTTATTGAGATACATGTGTGTGTCAATTTTTGTGTCATTTTGACAAAGCGTACCGGCGTGACAGTGAATAGTGTGAATTTTCACCTTAGGGGGCGCTATGGAGCCATTTTGCATTTTCTTGTTTGGGCGACTTCGGAATATCAAATTTTTCACCAGGCCCGGTCGTCCTGCCAAATTTCATGAGTTTTCGCCAGTGGGAAGTGGGCCATTTTCCAGTTCAAAGGGGAGGAAAAATAATAACTAGGGCCCCGTTGGGGCACTGGCGGGCCCGAGCCGTGTCACGCCGCCCCCAGCGCGACCACCTCCCCCACCCGAGCGCGTCACACTCAAGGTCCAAAGATGGTGTGCGCACTTGTTTGTGGTCATTTACCATTATAATGAACGGGAGGCGCAGTTTCTACCAAAACGCTCGCTGCAGAAAAACTCCATGTCCTATTTGAAAAAAGTCTGGACCATGAGTGAGGGCACAAACACAGCTAAGATATATCCAAATGGCAAGTTGCTCCTCCTTTCGCTTTTGCCGAGAGAGCAGTGCGTTTGAGCCATTGAATGATGAACAGGAAAAACTTGACTTTATTCTCCTGCCATGGGGGGGGCGCTCTTTTAACGAGAAAAACTCCTTCACAAATGTGTTGATGGCTGGACATTGCATCATCCTAGAAAACATGGAGGCCAGTGAGGACAAAAATAAAAAGTTATAAGACTTTTAAATATGTGGATTTTAGGGTTATCTTTGGCGCCCCCTAGAACCTAAACCGTGGGGTGCAGCGTCATGATTTGAATAACTTTTAATGGCCATGGGGTGTAGATTGGCCTGAGCAAATGTGGTGCCGGTGGAAAGAAAGCCTTCGGAGGAGTTAGCTAAATTCCAATGTGTGCGAATCTGCAAAAAATGCGAAATAACCCTTTAACCGTACATTTTACAGATACGTGGCCATTGACTTTTTCGAAGATCTTATTGAAAGACACGTGTATGTAAAATTTTGTGTCAATACGACAAAACATACAGGCGTAGCACTCAACAATGTGTATTTTCACCTTAGTGGACAAGAAAAAATGGACTTTTTTCTCCTGCCATGGGGGGGCGCTCTTTTGGCGAGTAAAAATTCCTTCACAAATGTGTTGATGGCTGGACATTGCATCATCCTAGAAAACTTGGAGGCCAGTGAGGACAAAAATAAAAAGTTATAAGACTTTTAAATATGTGGATTTTACGGTTATCTTTGGCGCCCCCTAGAACCTAAACCGTGGGGTGCAGCGTCATGATTTGAATAACTTTTAATGGCCATGGGGTGTAGATTGGCCTGAGCAAATGTGGTGCCGGTGGAACGAAAGCCTTCGGAGGAGTTAGCGAAATTCCAATGTGTGCGGATCGGCAAAAAATGCGGAATAACCCTTTAACCGTACATTTGACAGATACGTGCGCATTGACTTTTTTGTAGATCTTATTGAGATACATGTGTGTGTCAATTTTGGTGTCATTTTGCCAAAGCCTACAGGTGTTACACTCAACAATGTGTATTTTCACCTTAGGGGACAAGAAAAAATGGACTTTTTTCTCCTGCCATGGGGGGCGCTCTTTTGGGGAGTAAAAATTCCTTCACAAATGTGTTGATGGCTGGACATTGCATCATCCTAGAAAACTTGGAGGCCAGTGAGGGCAAAAATAAAAAGTTATAAGACTTTTAAATATGTGGATCTTAGGGTTATCTTTGGCGCCCCCTAGAACCTAAACCGTGGGGTGCAGCGTCATGATTTGAATAACTTTTAATGGCCATGGGGTGTAGATTGGCCTGAGCAAATGTGGTGCCGGTGGAACGAAAGCCTTCGGAGGAGTTAGCGAAATTCCAATGTGTGCGGATCGGCAAAAAATGCGAAATAACCCTTTAACCGTACATTTGACAGATACGCCCGCACTGACTTTTTTGTAGATCTTATTGAGATACATGTGTGTGTCAATTTTTGTGTCATTTTGACAAAGCGTACCGGCGTGACAGTCAATAGTGTGAATTTTCACCTTAGGGGGCGCTATGGAGCCATTTTGCATTTTCTTGTTTGGGCGACTTCGGAATATCAAATTTTTCACCAGGCCCGGTCGTCCTGCCAAATTTCATGAGTTTTCGCCAGTGGGAAGTGGGCCATTTTCCAGTTCAAAGGGGAGGAAAAATAATAACTAGGACCCCGTTGGGGCACTGGCGGGCCCGAGCCGTGTCGCGTCCCCCCCCCAACGCGCTGCCTCCCCGTCCCATTTGTGTCCTCTGGCCATCGCCCTCTCTGGTAACGCCCATCACTGCAAAGACCCTTTTCCTTCATCGGCGTTTGCTGTTCTTCCTGCCAGTGCGTGTTGCTTTCACTTACACTTGCCACAGCCAGCCTCGTGAGTGCCTAGCCTATTGGATATCACTGTCACCTACACAGGACAGTCATTACCTTTCTATTAATACTTTGTGTTTTAATTTCACATTAATTTCCATATTGTATAAACGACTGGAAAAAACTTGAGCCCCTGCCCCTGTATAATCATGTGCATGTCTCTGTTCTAGCTCCAAGGTGAATCTTCACTGCTCATGTTCTCCTCAGAAGCACTCACCTCACTCCCCTCAGGTTACTGTACACATGCACCAACTGCCTGCTTCAGGTTTGGATGGAGCTTCATGGTTGTCTTTTGGAGAAATGAGCAGTCAAGTTGTGTTTGAAATTTGATTTTTTTCAGGGGCAAAAGGAGCCTCTGCATTCTTGTCAAATATGTAAATAGCATGTTTTTGCAGGTGCTAAAAACCAGACTCTGAGTGTGTGTGTGTGTGTGTGTGTGTGTGTGTGTGTGTGTGTGCGTGTCTGTGTGTGCGTTCAAGTCACATGACATATTTAACCGGATGTAGCTGCAAGACGGAGCCTTGTTGACTCTCCGTTTCAACTTATCTCAAAAGTGAGGACCTCAACCTATATACCAGTTTTTAAATTGTGTTGATAGGCCAAATAAAACCAGAGTTATGATAAATTATGTCCGCGATACTTGTTTTCTGCTTATTTTGATCACGTTCGGCGCTCGATCGCGCTGTATGAGACAGGAAAACATAGCATGCAGACATTAGCGACAGGTCTTACAGGCGGAAAAGGCTTGCCAAAAGAAAAAAAAACACACCACAACATCTCTCCTATTGGTGGAAAACTTCACCACAACAACCAATCCAAAATTATATGGTGACTGATTGACAAGGGGCGGGCGCTTACGTTCTTCCTGCAACATGAGAAGGGAGGGAGGGACTCTCAGCAGGGATGCAGTCTGGGACACGTAGTTGCAAACCTAGCGACTTTGTTGTTAGATTCAATGACTTTTCAGACCCCCTAACGACTTTTTTTTAGAAAGAAAGGGACTTTTATCGACTTCTTCTGGAGTTTAGAGACTCTGACATGAAGCAGGCTTTCCTTACTGAGGAGTTAGCAACGCTGCTAAGGGTGCAGAGCCACACATGCGCTCAGAGCTCTGCATGGGAGACTGAAGCTGACAGAGCTGCAGCAGTTAGCAGGTTTCACCCTCAGAGACCACCAGGGGTTCATGTTGAGGCATTTTAATTTTTTTTTTTTTTGTGCCATAGACACTGTCAGCACAATCTGCAGTTACACTAACAAAAATGCTGCAAAAAACAAAGAATTATGGAAAAATTACACATGGACTGACATACAGGAGGATCTACACAAGTTTTTTACATCATGTTTTACATCATGCATCATTTACATCATGTTTTTTTGTAGTGGCATAAATAAAAAGTGACATTTGTGAGACTATACAGTGTTTTGTAAATAATTTTACAAAGAACGCCTGGGCCATTGCCTGCATTTTGATGTAAATAGAGGTAAATCACTATGTTCTTTGTTAAAAATTTGCATATGTTTTGAAGTTTACAATTTTTATTTGAAGTTTAAGTTTTAAAAACAGTTCATCACACATATTTGTGGTTTTCACAGTAAAAATGTTACTTTTTTCCACTCGGATTTTATGTTTTGTGTGTGAATTTGGGTCCATTGTGTAAATTCAGTATGTCAACATGATGAAATAACTGTAAATTCGCACAGGTGAGGTTGTGCTGAAAAAAATGATACCAGGCAAGGCACGTGATTGTCAAATTTTGTGTCAATATGACAAAGCGTATAGGCGTGAATCTCAACAATATGTATTTTCACCTTAGGGGACAAGAAAAAATGGACTTTTTTCTCCTGCCATGGGGGGGCGCTCTTTTGGGGAGTAAAAATTCCTTCACAAATGTGTTGATGGCTGGACATTGCATCATCCTAGAAAACTTGGAGGCCAGTGAGGACAAAAATAAAAAGTTATAAGACTTTTAAATATGTGGATTTTAGGGTTATCTTTGGCGCCCCCTAGAACCTAAACCGTGGGGTGCAGCGTCATGATTTTGATAACTTTTAATGGCCATGGGGTGTAGATTGGCCTGAGCAAATGTGGTGCCGGTGGAACGAAAGCCTTAGGAGGAGTTAGCCACATTCCAATGTGTGCGGATCGGCAAAAAATGCGGAATAACCCTTTAACCGTACATTTGACAGATACGCGCGCATTGACTTTTTCGTAGATCTTATTGAGTTACATGTGTGTGTCAAATTTTGTGTCAATATGACAAAGCGTATAGGCGTGACACTCAACAATGTGTATTTTCACCTTAGGGGACAAGAAAAAATGGACTTTTTTCTCCTGCCATGGGGGGGCGCTCTTTTGGGGAGTAAAAATTCCTTCACAAATGTGTTGATGGCTGGACATTGCATCATCCTAGAAAACTTGGAGGCCAGTGAGGACAAAAATAAAAAGTTATAAGACTTTTAAATATGTGGATTTTAGTGTTATCTTTGGCGCCCCCTAGAACCTAAACCTTGGGGTGCAGCGTCATGATTTTGATAACTTTTAATGGCCACGGGGTGTAGATTGGCCTGAGCAAATGTGGTGCCGGTGGAACGAAAGCCTTCGGAGGAGTTAGCGAAATTCCAATGTGTGCAGATCGGCAAAAAATGCGAAATAACCCTTTAACCGTAATTTTGACAGATACGGCCGCACTGACTTTTTTGTAGATCTTATTGAGATACATGTGTGTGTCAATTTTTGTGTCATTTTGACAAAGCGTACAGTCGTGACAGTGAATAGTGTGAATTTTCACCTTAGGGGGCGCTATGGAGCCATTTTGCATTTTATTGTTTTGGCGACTTCAGAATATCAAATTTTTCACCAGGCCCGGTCGTCCTGCCAAATTTCATGAGTTTTTGCCAGTGGGAAGTGGGCCATTTTCCAGTTCAAAGGGGAGGAAAAAGAAAAAAGAAAGAAAGAAACAAAGAAAAACCACTTGGGGAATAATAGGGCCTACGCCCGGCTGCTCTGCAGCTGGCTCGGGCCCTAATAATAACAAAAGAAGGAAACTACAGGAACAAGAGGGCTCTCGCAGCTGCTTAGCAGCTACGCTCGGGCCCTAACTAGGACCCCGTTGGGGCACTGGCGGGCCCGAGCCGTGTCGCGTCCCCCCCAACGTGCTGCCTCCCCGTCCCATTTGTGTCCTCTGGCCATCGCCCTCTCTGGTAACGCCCATCACTGCAAAGACCCTTTTCCTTCATCGGCGTTTGCTGTTCTTCCTGCCAGTGCGTGTTGCTTTCACTTACACTTGCCACAGCCAGCCTCGTGAGTGCCTAGCCTATTGGATATCACTGTCACCTACACAGGACAGTCATTACCTTTCTATTAATACTTTGTGTTTTAATTTCACATTAATTTCCATATTGTATAAACGACTGGAAAAAACTTGAGCCCCTGCCCCTGTATAATCATGTGCATGTCTCTGTTCTAGCTCCAAGGTGAATCTTCACTGCTCATGTTCTCCTCAGAAGCACTCACCTCACTCCCCTCAGGTTACTGTACACATGCACCAACTGCCTGCTTCAGGTTTGGATGGAGCTTCATGGTTGTCTTTTGGAGAAATGAGCAGTCAAGTTGTGTTTGAAATTTGATTTTTTTCAGGGGCAAAAGGAGCCTCTGCATTCTTGTCAAATATGTAAATAGCATGTTTTTGCAGGTGCTAAAAACCAGACTCTGAGTGTGTGTGTGTGTGTGTGTGTGTGTGTGTGTGTGTGTGTGCGTGTCTGTGTGTGCGTTCAAGTCACATGACATATTTAACCGGATGTAGCTGCAAGACGGAGACTTGTTGACTCTCCGTTTCAACTTATCTCAAAAGTGAGGACCTCAACCTATATACCAGTTTTTAAATTGTGTTGATAGGCCAAATAAAACCAGAGTTATGATAAATTATGTCCGCGATACTTGTTTTCTGCTTATTTTGATCACGTTCGGCGCTCGATCGCGCTGTATGAGACAGGAAAACATAGCATGCAGACATTAGCGACAGGTCTTACAGGCGGAAAAGGCTTGCCAAAAGAAAAAAAAACACACCACAACATCTCTCCTATTGGTGGAAAACTTCACCACAACAACCAATCCAAAATTATATGGTGACTGATTGACAAGGGGCGGGCGCTTACGTTCTTCCTGCAACATGAGAAGGGAGGGAGGGACTCTCAGCAGGGATGCAGTCTGGGACACGTAGTTGCAAACCTAGCGACTTTGTTGTTAGATTCAATGACTTTTCAGACCCCCTAACGACTTTTTTTTAGAAAGAAAGGGACTTTTATCGACTTCTTCTGGAGTTTAGAGACTCTGACATGAAGCAGGCTTTCCTTACTGAGGAGTTAGCAACGCTGCTAAGGGTGCAGAGCCACACATGCGCTCAGAGCTCTGCATGGGAGACTGAAGCTGACAGAGCTGCAGCAGTTAGCAGGTTTCACCCTCAGAGACCACCAGGGGTTCATGTTGAGGCATTTTAATTTTTTTTTTTTTGTGCCATAGACACTGTCAGCACAATCTGCAGTTACACTAACAAAAATGCTGCAAAAAACAAAGAATTATGGAAAAATTACACATGGACTGACATACAGGAGGATCTACACAAGTTTTTTACATCATGTTTTACATCATGCATCATTTACATCATGTTTTTTTGTAGTGGCATAAATAAAAAGTGACATTTGTGAGACTATACAGTGTTTTGTAAATAATTTTACAAAGAACGCCTGGGCCATTGCCTGCATTTTGATGTAAATAGAGGTAAATCACTATGTTCTTTGTTAAAAATTTGCATATGTTTTGAAGTTTACAATTTTTATTTGAAGTTTAAGTTTTAAAAACAGTTCATCACACATATTTGTGGTTTTCACAGTAAAAATGTTACTTTTTTCCACTCGGATTTTATGTTTTGTGTGTGAATTTGGGTCCATTGTGTAAATTCAGTATGTCAACATGATGAAATAACTGTAAATTCGCACAGGTGAGGTTGTGCTGAAAAAAATGATACCAGGCAAGGCACGTGATTGTCAAATTTTGTGTCAATATGACAAAGCGTATAGGCGTGAATCTCAACAATATGTATTTTCACCTTAGGGGACAAGAAAAAATGGACTTTTTTCTCCTGCCATGGGGGGCGCTCTTTTGGGGAGTAAAAATTCCTTCACAAATGTGTTGATGGCTGGACATTGCATCATCCTAGAAAACTTGGAGGCCAGTGAGGACAAAAATAAAAAGTTATAAGACTTTTAAATATGTGGATTTTAGGGTTATCTTTGGCGCCCCCTAGAACCTAAACCGTGGGGTGCAGCGTCATGATTTTGATAACTTTTAATGGCCATGGGGTGTAGATTGGCCTGAGCAAATGTGGTGCCGGTGGAACGAAAGCCTTAGGAGGAGTTAGCCACATTCCAATGTGTGCGGATCGGCAAAAAATGCGGAATAACCCTTTAACCGTACATTTGACAGATACGCGCGCATTGACTTTTTCGTAGATCTTATTGAGTTACATGTGTGTGTCAAATTTTGTGTCAATATGACAAAGCGTATAGGCGTGACACTCAACAATGTGTATTTTCACCTTAGGGGACAAGAAAAAATGGACTTTTTTCTCCTGCCATGGGGGGGCGCTCTTTTGGGGAGTAAAAATTCCTTCACAAATGTGTTGATGGCTGGACATTGCATCATCCTAGAAAACTTGGAGGCCAGTGAGGACAAAAATAAAAAGTTATAAGACTTTTAAATATGTGGATTTTAGTGTTATCTTTGGCGCCCCCTAGAACCTAAACCTTGGGGTGCAGCGTCATGATTTTGATAACTTTTAATGGCCACGGGGTGTAGATTGGCCTGAGCAAATGTGGTGCCGGTGGAACGAAAGCCTTCGGAGGAGTTAGCGAAATTCCAATGTGTGCAGATCGGCAAAAAATGCGAAATAACCCTTTAACCGTAATTTTGACAGATACGGCCGCACTGACTTTTTTGTAGATCTTATTGAGATACATGTGTGTGTCAATTTTTGTGTCATTTTGACAAAGCGTACAGTCGTGACAGTGAATAGTGTGAATTTTCACCTTAGGGGGCGCTATGGAGCCATTTTGCATTTTATTGTTTTGGCGACTTCAGAATATCAAATTTTTCACCAGGCCCGGTCGTCCTGCCAAATTTCATGAGTTTTTGCCAGTGGGAAGTGGGCCATTTTCCAGTTCAAAGGGGAGGAAAAAGAAAAAAGAAAGAAAGAAACAAAGAAAAACCACTTGGGGAATAATAGGGCCTACGCCCGGCTGCTCTGCAGCTGGCTCGGGCCCTAAAGAAAGAAACAAAGAAAAACCCCTACAGGAATAACAGGGCCTACGCCCGGCTGCTCTGCAGCTGGCTCGGGCCCTAATAATAACAAAAGAAGGAAACTACAGGAACAAGAGGGCTCTCGCAGCTGCTTAGCAGCTACGCTCGGGCCCTAATAAGAGAAGAGAGTGTGTAAGAGAATAAGCGAACAAGAGAGTGAGCAACCCCACTTCACTGGTTTTATCCTCTCACATTGGGAGTGTCTCTGCTGTGTGTGTGTGAGGAGAATGGGGAGGGGTCGTGGGGTCTCCATCTGCAGAGGAGACCTCGGATCTCTGATTATTTGATCTAACTTATACTTTTGGCTGGTAAAAGAGTCAGATCTGATACCCACTCACTATGATTAATATCATTGAATATTTGGTCCCATGATAAATAATTTGATACTAAACACATAAAGAAATGTAGGATCACATCAAACATTCTCATTATGTTTTAAGTATCACACTGAACATGCTAAATTCCTCTGAAATGAAACAGATAGTAACACATAGAAACTGTGAACAACAAAAGAGTAACTAGGGCCCCGTTGGGGCGCTGGCGGGCCCGAGCCGTGTCTCGATTTGAATAACTTTTAATGGCCATGGGGTGTAGATTGGCCTGAGCAAATGTGGTGCCGGTGGAACGAAAGCCTTAGGAGGAGTTAGCCACATTCCAATGTGTGCAGATCAGCAAAAAATGCGGAATAACCCTTTAACCGTACATTTGACAGATACGCGCGCATTGACTTTTTCGTAGATCTTATTGAGATACATGTGTGTGTCAATTTTTGTGTCATTTTGACAAAGCGTACAGGCGTGACACTCAACAATGTGTATTTTCACCTTAGGGGACAAGAAAAAATGGACTTTTTTCTCCTGCCATGGGGGGGCGCTCTTTTGGGGAGTAAAAATTCCTTCACAAATGTGTTGATGGCTGGACATTGCATCATCCTAGAAAACTTGGAGGCCAGTGAGGACAAAAATAAAAAGTTATAAGACTTTTAAATATGTGGATTTTAGGGTTATTTTTGGCGCCCCCTAGAATGTAAACCGTGGGGTGCAGCGTCATGATTTGAATAACTTTTAATGGCCATGGGGTGTAGATTGGCCTGAGCAAATGTGGTGCCGGTGGAACGAAAGCCTTCGGAGGAGTTAGCGAAATTCCAATGTGTGCGGATCGGCAAAAAAATGCGAAATAACCCTTTAACCGTACATTTGACAGATACGCCCGCACTGACTTTTTTGTAGATCTTATTGAGATACATATGTGTGTCAATTTTTGTGTCAATATGACAAAGCGTACAGGCGTGACAGTCAATAGTGTGAATTTACACCTTAGGGGGCGCTATGGAGCTATTTTGCATTTTATTGTTTGGGCGACTTCAGAATATCGAATTTTTCACCAGGCCCGGTAGTCCTGCCAAATTTTATGAGTTTTCGCCAGTGGGAAGTGGGCCATTTTCCAGTTCAAAGGGGAGGAAAAAGAAGAAAGAAAGAAACAAAGAAAAACCACTACAGGAACAACAGGGCTCTACGCCCGGCTGCTCTGCAGCTGGCTCGGGCCCTAAATACATGTGAATGAACTTCATCATGATTAATAATGGATTCTAAATACTCACATTCAGATTATTCAATGACATTATAACCACCTAATGGTTAAAAATTCTAAATTAACAACTAAAATACAAACCAAACATTTCTAAACCATTTCTGTTACTTAGAGTAAAGTTATGAGTCATAGTCAATAAATTTAACTCTTAAAGTTCATGAAACATTCTGAAAAGCTGTTGGTCTAAAGAAACTAAAGAATAAAGGATTTATTCTGTCAGAGTGTTAACTTGGCTTCTGGAGCACATAGAAAAACGGGAAACATCTTATTTTAACACAAATTTCATGATTAGACAGATTAGTACATTGCTGAATGCATAAGATGTCATGATCAGTCATTTGTACTCTTTCACCAAAGGAATGTAGTCTTTATCAGTGTATTGTTGAGCAGGGTTTTACGACCGAGGTCTGGAGGTCAGTGTCCTATTCCTGACCATATCTTGGGGTCCGTATGTTCACACACTTTAAGACGGTAAATCTCAAATGGGAGATCTGGGTTGAGGCATTAATGTTTATTTAGATGGTCAGCGATGGAGTCAGTTTGAAAGGTAATAAAAACTCTGTCTCTGTTCTCCGAACTGACCAATCGTGACGAGTCAGAGGTTTGGTCAACCTCCGGTCGTGTCAGTTAGGTAACCTGCAAGTGCAAACAAGTCTGGAAAGATTTATATCCTGTGTCCTGGGACCAGATAAGAAAACTTTCCTGCAAGGAATGTGTGAGTTTCACGTACAGGGTTGTCGTGATTGCTACACAACAAATATGCATTTTTGTTTGTGTATGCTACAACCCAGCATTTAAGAAACATAAAAACTCACACTGAGAGCCTCCCTTGAAGTGTGCAACAAAAACTCTGATTTGACTTTGGGTATACGAAAAGTGACTATTGATTGACAGTAAATTGACCATTGAGAGTAAAGAGTGTGATGAGTCTCTGTTTGAATTCCTCACACAGATAAGTGATTGTTGGGTTTTATTATATATAGGTTTCTATCCAGCTTGAAACCAAAAGATTTATCACCCTTCCTGGGGAATGGATGCAGCATAGGTCTGAATCCTTGCCAATGGAATATTAACAGATATGGCAGAGACGGAACTGGAAACATTAAAATACACTTAATAATTTTCTCAAACATAGTTCCAGGCCTACTTTCTTGGGTAGAGGGCAGAGCTTGATGTCTTGGGCCCACAGCCAGTGTCATGGACGTCTCAGTAAGATTTTGTGTAATTTTCCAGTGACCCGTTTTGAGAAGTTCACATCTAGTTTTGAGCATTGCAAGAACATATGTTGACCCCATTTGGACACCAAACATTGTAACTTTGCCACTTTGTTTAAGTGGTTGATTATTGTGTTTCAGAATAACACAATAATCTGTTCTGTTGTGGACTGTACCCACCTGACGGATCTGCAGCAATTTATTGGTGAGTTTAATATTTGTTTTGGTTAGTATTGCAGGTGTGACTCCCGTCCTGTAAAACTTGCAGCCAGGTTGCTTGTCTGTATACATTTGTTTCACTGGCATGAATGTCCACAAATATGGAGGTAATATTTTGGCTACTGTAGGTGGAAGTGAAGAGATCTTGTTCATTCTATACCCAGGGTCCGCAATAAGGACCACCTCTTTGTGGACCCAGAGCAAAATAAATTCAACAACACGACATGGCACGACACTCTCTCTGACTGACTGACATGAGGTTAGACTGGCCGAGAGAGAGAGAGAGAGAGCATGTGTGTGTGTGCGACTGTGCACGTGCTCACGCTTGCATCATGGGCTGCCATTCCCATGACAACGATGCACTGATTGGCTGATAACGATGCAAACTGGCAGTCACACATCTTCCTCCTTCAGTCCATCTTCTTTGCATGGCGCAGGCAGCGGTAACGTCTTTGCAGCAATAGCGTTACTCACACCTAGCACCTGACATCAAAACAGCAAATCAGAGAAAGGTGGACACTGAAAATCGCAGATTCTATGACGAATGGACCGACAAATATATGATTATCGTACCTCCTTCAAGCACAAAGTAGTGGTGGGCAAAACCGTTCATTTCAGTGAACCGGATCATTCCGGGTCGTTCAGTAAAAAGACCCGTTCATTTCGTTCATTTCGGTCAATCGGTCGTCAGTCAGTTCGCTTGTTCATGTTGTTCACGTTCGTTCAGCGTCTGAACGACCATGATGAGCGAACGGACTGACTGCACTTCAGACTCAACAGTGCAACAACATGTGATCTTGAAATCTGAAGCATTACACCCCTCCGGATCCGACGTTGCGAGCGTCTCAGCTCCCCGGTCCGACGTTACGACCCCCCCGCGGTCCGACGCTGTGACCGCTGTACTCCCCACTTCCCACCCCCGGTCCAACGCTGCGATCGCGCTGCACTCCTTGCAATATAAAATTATAGTAGGAATAACAAAATAAATAAGGTTTTCAATGGTTTTTATTATTTTGAGGTGCATTAAAAACAATAATAAAAAGTACAAAATGTCAACAGACAGTGCAAATGTGTATTAATAGTTGTCTCTCTGTCTCTGGCTGCAGCAGCAGCTGTGTGCCTTTGTGTGTGTGTGACTGTCCTGCTCGCTCGGGCTCGGCTGTCGGCTCGTGCGGCGGCCAGCCAACTCGGTCTTTCAGTCAACTCGTTCATCGGTCTGGATCTTTCGTTCACTCGGTCTTTCAGTCAACTCGTTCATCGGTCTGGATCTTTCGTTCACTCGGTCTTTCAGTCAACTCATTCACCGTCTGGATCTTTCGTTCACTCGGTCTTTCAGTCAACTCGTTCATCTGTCTGGATCTTTCGTTCAACTCGGTCTTTCAGTCAACTCGTTCATCGTCTGGATCTTTTGTTCAACTCGGTCTTTCGTTCATTTAACCCGTTCTTTCAGTCAACTTGGTCATCCTGGTCTTTCAGTCAGCTCAGTAGTACTGCTGCTGCTTCTCTAAGCCCCATCCACACACAGAACGAGGTGCGACGATAGAATAAGACAGGCAAGCACGGAGATAGTCCCTCTTCAGCCAGTCAAAAGAACTGAACGGACTGAACGGGTCATTTAGGGGGGGAGAACTAGTTCATTTCGTTCACCAAAAAGAACTAGTTCTTTTGATCCGTTTGTTCAAGACCGACACACCACTAGCACAAAGCCAATGGTTCTTTTGTGCAAAGCACTGTTGGTCTGATTAAAAGTGAAAACACAAAACACCATGAGAAGCGATTTTGAGTAATACTAAGTAAGAAAGAATATCAGTGTGATGCTGTAAATGATTGTTTTTGTGCCTTCCAATAACTCCTGATTATTACAGTACAGTACACCCAGCCCAAAACTTCATAAAAATATTAAAAAAAGGAAGAAAAAAAAATAATAATCACCCAAAATTTTTCGCCGCCACGAACATGCTGTGGACCTATGACTTCCTCAAAATTTATTTTCTGGACCTTTTACATTTCTAATTGAGAACCCCTGTCCTATACAGTCATTGGTTTATGTCCACATGCAGGGCCATGGAGCATTCAGCATCTCAGGAAGGGGAAGCAGTGCACTGTCAACACTGTGGGAATGAAGGGCCAATAGGTGAAGGGAATACTTTGAAGACCTCAATCCCAGCAACACATCTTCCAGCAAGGAAGCAGGGCTGATGGACTTGGTTGTGGACTCTTCTGTCCCTTAGGGAAATCCTGTGGGAGGTGCTCTGGGAGTATGGGGTATCAGATACCCTGATAATGACTGTTTGTTACGTGTATGCCCAGTGCCAGAGCTTGTTCTGCATAGCTGGTATTTAGTCGAACTCGTTTCTAGTAATGGGTGGCTTCCGCCATGGCTGCCCTTTGTCACTGATCTTGGAAGTTTTACTGCTGACACTTGCAGACAGGGCACGCTTCCCCAGGAGACTTTTACGCCACATGTACATTTGGATCCTAATTCCAGTTGGGGTGGCACATGGGCTGGCCAGTTAGATTATAGGGGTGGCATGCACCACCCCAGCCACTCTGTCAGCTCTGCCCCTGTTCACATGGACAATGAGAATATAGCAAGTGTGACTAAGGGGACTGGAATCATTTTTGTGATGCATTGTTGTTAGGGAGGATGACATATCTTCCTCATCTCATTTCAGGATGTTGTCCAAGAAGTTCTTTTGATCTAAAGCATTTTTTTCTCAGTTCCTCTGTTAATGCATTATGGGGTCATTTTGAAGAAGGAGAAAAAAAAGATCCAGATCAATAAAAACATTTCCCTCATTACATAAACAGTTTTTTATGGTCTCAAATCCTGGCTGAGGTTCCTCCACACTGAGGTTCACCACAACTTAAACTCCCACACCTTTCACAATGTAAATTCCTCACTGTCTTTTGTTTTTGTCCAATGGCTGCATTAGGACATTTATGCATTTGATGAAATGAAAGGGTGAGTAAGGGCGAGTAGGGAAGCATCCCTGTTTGAAATCTGACCACAATAATCATCTCTAAATATAACAGTTTCTGCACACTGTATCATTTAATATACTTTAATTTACTTTTCTCTTAAGACACATTTTAACCACAATGTATTCCATGGAATACACATAAAGGCTTGAAAAAGAGGGTTTGATTGTTTGACAGGGAGAACTCATAGATGCCCTAAAACAGTACAAGTGTATACTGGGTAAACAGTCCGGCAAACATGTAGATGATTTGAAGCAAAAGTGCAATGCTCTTTCCTTTGGCTGT